GGCGGGTCCTCGCTGCCGCCCCGCTCGCCGGACCCGGGCGTCCCCTGCCCTCTGGCGCGTCCCGGGGTCGCGACTTGGGCCTAAGACCGGAGCCGAGTGACCCTCGGGTGACCCTCCGGCGGGGCGGGCGGCCCCGCGCCCTCGTTTGCCCAATGAATGACCGGCATTTGCAGCGCCGCGTTCACTAGGCAGACCCGATGGCGCCTCCCTTGCGGACCGGTCGGGCCCCGGGGTGGCCGCGCCGCCGGCGCTGTCAGGACCCCGGCCCCGTCCTCGCGGAGCCCAGCCGGACACAGACTGCCCAGTGAACGGCAGGCGAGGGCTTTAGGTCGCGAACGGACCGAGATCGCAAACGCGGGAGGCAGGACCGAGGAGCGCGGGGGAGCGCAGAGCGCCCGGTGGCTAGCACGTGGCCCGGGACGCTCCGATGGAAGTGCAGAGGGCCCTAGTGGAGGGTTGGCACCGGGGCACGGGGGCCACCTGTCTGCTGCATCTTAGAACACCGCTGGGGGCCGGGTTACGGCGCTAGACTCCCACATGGCCTACTGCGGTTCCAGTCCCAGGCCCGGGAAGCACACCCAGCCGTCCCCAAGGTCCCGGGAGGAGGACACGGAGGAGAGGGGACTGCGCCCCCGGGGTTGACTTCTCTCTGTCTGTGTCTGTCTGCCTCTGGCAAAGCACACTCACCCTACAGAGGGAGGCAAGGCCATTTCTCTGCTGCCCGCACCCGCCCAGGTGTTTGTGCAGCCCGCGGCGGTGAGGAAGGGAGCGATGACGGTAACTAACTCGGGGCGTTGGGGCCAGGGATGGCGGGAATGCTGTCCGCCCCGGGTGCCGTGGGTGTTGGCAGCCCAGGCTGCCGCAGACCTGCAGTAAGTAAATATTTGTGAGCAGGTGGATTCGCACATGTTTTTCAGGCCCTAGCTCCTCCCGTCGACTTTCCTAATCATTGCAACTTTTTGGTCTCCTTCCCAGGGTTCTTGAAGCCCTTCTGGGTTGTGTTCTTTCTTTATTTATTTTTAATTTTCCGGAGGGTGCATATGCTCCCCCCAAGACCCTGGGAGTGGGAGAAAGCACCCTCGATGGGGCCTGGCCACCCCGCACCCCTTCTTCCTTCCCCAGCGTGAAGGGATTCGGGGCTGCACACACATGTGCCTGGTGTGTTTTCAAGCCACAGGGGCCTGGATTCAAACCACACGGGAGCCATGTGGGATCCGGCTCCCTCAACATTTTGTAAAAAGTTTATGGCTTCCATCAGAGGGAGAGTGGCACCCCAACAGTCTTCATGCCGTGTCTGACCCCCACCCATCGGCCAGGGTCATGGCACGTTATACGCCGTGTGTTCAGCAAGGACCCACCCGTGTGGCGCCCGCGTCACTGGACGCTGCTCACCGCTGCGTCTCAACGGCCTCTGAAGCCCTCCTTTGTCACTCCTTTGTCACGAGGGTTAGCGTGGACCCGAACTCCTTTTCTGCAGTTCCAAGACCCAGACACCCAGCGGCGGTACCGCATTGCTCCCAGTTCTTGGCAGTCACTTGGCCCACGCAGCGGCTGTCGGCGGTTCTTGGCCGGGGTGACCGCCATCTTGGTGGTCCCATCCCAACCGGGGTGCTCCTGAGCTGGAGTCGGAGGAGGGGTGCCACTCAGCACCCTGCTGTGCCCAGGCTGCCCCCAGACAGCTATCAGCCAGTGTCCATGGTGCCCAGGAGAGGCCCTGGTGTATGCAGGACCTTCACTGCAGGAAGAGTGATTTGGTGAGACCAAACGATGGTGAGACGTTATGTCGCTAGACTCCCACGTGGTCGTCCGGTTCAAGTTCTGAACCCAACGGTTAAAACTCAGGCAGGGCGCATGTGTGTGCATGCCCAGAATCCCGAGAGAAGAATGGAGAGGGGATTGCAGCATGGCCATCCCCCGGGGCTGGTTTCTCGCTCTCTGTCTCTGTCCCTGTCTCCAGTGAGTGCAGGTGCCCTATGGCAAAAAGCTCTCAGAGAAATAAGAGTGACCCGGCTGTGGCAGTGCCCTGACCTCCTGGGGGCCGTGTAGTGGGTGGTGTCTGCTGTGCCTCCCCCCCTCTGAAACCGGGCAGTCCTGAGAGAGCGCCCCGGCTCCCCGAGTTCTTGGAGGGTGTGGTCTAACAGCTGCCAGTCACAGGAGGGCTGCCTCCCGCCCCTCAGGCCCTGGGTCCTGCGCTGCTGCTTACGCGGAACCCCGAAACTGCGTTAAAGCGCCTGGCCAGGGTCTAGGGTGAGCAGGGGAGGGTGCTGGCTTTCTCTGCTCCCGGAACCAGCACTCCTAGGTCTGGTTGCCAGGCCTCCTGGCCACCGGCTAGGGCGCACCTTGTACTCGGGCCTGAATGGGACAGGCCAGCCTTCCCCACACGGGGCTGGCCAACCGCACCGCGAGGCTGCAGCAGCCACGAGCTAGCACTGACGCGCGGGTGGGGCGGAGGCTGTGTGCAGCCCGCCAGGCCCAAACCATTCAGCCCCCTTTCATTTTGGAGAGAGACAGAAAGTGAGAAATCACCCCCCGGGGGGAAATGGTCACGCCGCAATCCCTTCTCCTCCATTCTCCTCGGGATCTTGGGCATGCACACACATGTGCCTGGCATGAGTTTAAGCCACCGGATCCAGGACTTGAACTGCAGTCGACTATGTGGGAGTCCAGCGACATAGCCATTACGCTAACTGCTGGTCCCGATTTAGCCCGTTCTGAATCGGCTCACCCTTGGGCTCCTCTATGGGTCCTGCTGGGTCCTGTGGGCTCAGGCGAGGCCTGGGAGGCCCGCCAGCCTCTCTGAGCCCAACCCCCGGCCTCCTTCAGAACGTCACCCTTCAGCCTCCCCGTGCCGGGAGCCTCTCCCTACTCTTCCTCCCTAGGGCTCCACGCACACCTTGGTCTCGGTCCCTAATTACACTCCCGGTTACCGATTTTAACTACCTGTGGGCATGTGCGTGGGGCAGACGCACAGGGTGCAGATGCACGCAGGGTGCAGACGCACGCACACGCACCTGGCATGCTTCGCAAACCGCCCAGGCCGGGACTTGAACTGTGGTCGTCCACGTGGGACCCAGCTCCCTTGGACCGCCGGGCTCTGGGGCGGGCCCTACTCCCAGCTGCGTGACCTGCCGTGCCCTGAGGGCCGCGTCTCTGCAGCCTGTGCAGGCGACGTGCTGGACGCGGCGTCCCCGTGCTCCGTGGTGAACTACCTGAGGTGGGACCTGAACGCCCAGCAGATCGAGGAACTCACCAAGGAGCTCATCGAGCAGACCAAGCGCGTGTACGACCAGGTGGGCGCCCTGCCGTTCGAGGAGGTGTCCTACGAGAGCACCCTCCGGGCGCTGGCAGATGTTGAGGTGACCTACACAGGTGAGTCGCTGCGGGCCAGGAAGAGTGAGGAAGCGAGCCGCCAGGTCCGGGACTTGAACCATAGTCAGCGTGGGAGCCCAGCGCGTGAGCCACCACGCCACCTGCTGGCCCCCGTAGGCTGATGGCTCTAAGTCTGACCTTGCCGAAGGCTCTCACGTCCCCTCCACGGCAGCTGGGCACTCCCCTCCGATGCCCTCAGGAGGAAGACCAGAGCCCTGGGAGTGGCCTTTGCCACCCCGCCTGGCGTCCCGCCCTCTGTGCCACTAACCGCCAGGCCTGATGGCAGAGCAGTCTCCCCTCCTCCAGGAGCGCCTTCCTGGCCTCCCTCCCGGCGCAGCTGCGGGTCGCTCGTGGTGGGCTGAGTCACTCGTCGGTCCAGGCCACGTGGGCTTGCCCTCCCCGGCAGCTGTGACTGCTGCTGAGGGTGTCAAGCGTGGGTGTCCGTGTGGACGTCCGTCCGCTTCTCCAGCTAGGTGCCTGGGACGGGATCGCCAGGCCGCACCTCTCTCGGAGGGAGCAGGTGTACCCTGGAGACTGGGTCATTCTGCTCACGGTACAGCTCAGGAGCACGAGGACGTGAGCTGGGCAAGCCTCGCACCCTGCCAGCCCCTTCCGCAGCTCCGGCCCATGGGGTCCTGGGCCCCGTGCGCGTGCCTGCACAGTTCAGGCCGCCAGGCCGGGGATTCCAACCATGGTCACGGGGTGGCATCTGGCTTCTGAGCAGCCCACTGCTGCCACCCCGCAGAGCTGGGCCTGTGCGTCGAGGCCCCCGTCGGCCTCCGCCCCATCTCACCCAGACCCGATGACTGACCTCGGTCTGGAGTCCCAGGCCAGTCCCCGCACGGCCGGGCACCCCGGGACATGGCGGGCGGCCCCCCACTGCCTGACGCCGGAGCGGAGACGGAGGCCTGGCCGGGCGGTAGCATAGCGGGCTGAAAGCTGGGGCGGTGACAGTGGGACGCCAGCCCCGCCCGCCGACCCCACCGCACCCCGCCCGGCGCCCTCCCGCTGCAGTGCAGAGGAACACCCTGGACTTCCCCCAGCACGTCTCCCCGTGCAAGGCCATCCGCACGGCCAGCACCGAGGCCGACAAGAAGCTCTCGGAGTTCGACGTGGAGATGAGCATGAGGCAGGACGTGTACCAGCGCATCGTCTGGCTCCAGGTGAGGCCCGCCAGGACCCTGCGTCTGGGCGGTGGGCACAGCTGAGGGTCCGCGATGCGCAATCCCAGGACGGAGAGTTGGGCACACCCGGGAGTCTGGACATGCTGCAGCCTGACGCCACGCCAGGGCCAGGGAGCTCGGCTGTCGGGGTGTTTATTTACTTGTTTTTTTTATTATTTTTATTTATTTATTTATTTTTTTGAGAGGTTTATGCCATAAGGCACGTGCACTCACCAGAAAGACACAGACAGAAAGTGAGAAATCACACCCAGGGGGGACGGCCACCCGCAATCCCTTCTCCATTCTGCTCTCGGGACTCTGAGCATGCACACGCCCGCTGTGAGTTTCAAGCCGCCGGGTCTGGGACTCGAACTGTGGTCAGCTACGTGGGAGACCAGCGCCATGGTGCTGGTCCTGAGCAGTTCGTTTTTCTGTTTTTGTTGCCAGGGTGTGTGCGTGCATGAGAGAGAGAGAGAGCCCAGAGGGGCCGTCACGCAGCAGCCCTTGCCCTCCCTCCGTCAGGCTTCTGGGCGTGCATTTGTGTGCCCAGCGTGTTTTGAAGCTACCAGGGCTGGGATTCGAACCCAGGCCAGCTAAGTGGGGTCTGGCCCCTCTGCCCTCAGCCAGCACCTTCGTGTCAGCCCAGACTTTGCCTTTTCGGTGCCATTTCTGTGCGACAGAGGCAGCTCCCGCACGGCCGGTGACTCCGAGCCTCTGGCTGCGCTCCCAGCCCGCCCAGGGGCCCGCAGAGCTCTGCCAGGCCCCCGAGGCCAGGTGCTGGGCTGTGTCCTCGCCCGTGGCTGGGCTCGGCCGACTCCGCTCGGGCTGCTCCAGGGGCTGGCGCTGGGCTCCTGGCTGGTGTGCGCATGGGTGGCCTTTCTGTGGGGTCGGCCGCTCCCGGGAGCAGGGCCGCTGGAGACGGGCATCAGGCCCCCACGTCCCGGCCGGCGTGCGGGGCCACCACTGTCCCAGTGCCGACACGTGCGATGCGCAGGCCCTGACACAGCCAGTCTGTGGTCGTTACGGTCTGCGCTGTCTGCCGACCGTGCCAGGGGCACCGCGCCCTGTGCAGGTGACGCCATGTGGTGACACCACCTGGGACGTGTCCCCGGCCAGTCCCCGGGCCGAGGGCACGTACGAGGGAGGGTCTCTCCCCTAAGTGGCACTGCGGCGGCTGGGGCGGCGCGTGGAGCTCGCGGGTGAGGACACAGCCGTGTTTGCGTGTGCCTGTCCCAGGAGAAGGTCCCGAAGGCCACGCTGAGGCCCGAGGCGGCGCGGTACCTGGAGCGGATGCTCAAGCTGGGCAGGAGGAACGGGCTGCACCTCCCCCAGGAGACCCAGGAGGTGGGCACCAGCGGGGGGCGGGGCTCCCTGTTCCCTGGGGGGGGTGTCTCCTGGCCCTGCCCCCGCCGCACCCTCTGCCCCACCCCCGCAGTGTGGTGAGCTCCCAGAGCCCCAGGCCCCTGGCCCAGGAAAGACGGGTACACGGAGCTGGCTCCCCCACGTCCCTCATCTCAGCCTTGAGGGCCTTTGTCAGCGAGGCCTTGGGGAAGAGGGAGCCGCTGGGCCCCGACTCAGGACTCTCCTGTGGGTGTAGGGACTCAGGGATTGGAGGCGTGGCTGTGTCTGGAGCCCTGCACAGGCAGCCCTGCTGAGCTCGTGTGGCTGCTTAGAATGGTGCCTGCTCCCCACGCAGGCCGGGGCTCCCCGCTGCCCCCACACGCAGGCCGGGGCTCCCTGCATCCACCCCTGTCCTCCCGCGGCACGCCTGCTCCCCGTCCCCCCGCACCTGCTCCCCGTCACTGTCCTCAGTAGGGACACCCTGGCTGAGAGCTAAGCCCCAGGCCTGCTGGAGGCCGAGGTGGGTGGCTGGTGCAGCCTGACCCACTGCCTCGCCCCTCTGCCCACCGCACTGCCGGCCTGTCATGGACCACTCAGCCTTCACCCTGGTCCTCATCCTGTAGCTGTCACCCGTCGTCCTCAGGACTGGCCAAGGGGTCATGGGTATCAGGGTCGGCTCGGTTCTTCCGTGAGACAGGGACGCAGGAAGAGCGGGGTGCACCCCGGCGTGTCCCCCGTGGGTCCGCCCAGTCGCACCCTCCTGCGCTGCCTCCCACCATTGTACCTGAGGCTCAGAGCCAGCTTCAGCAGCCGGTGGGCGCAGGCCTGCACCCCCAACAGTGAGGGTCCCCCCACTGCAAGGCCTCCCGTCTCCGCTTCCCGCCTGGACCTGGGAGGCGAGCCGCACCCGGGCAGGCCCCTGACAGGGCGGGGTCCGCGTCTCCGTGGCCTCCTCCCAGGGCCGTGGCCTCCTCCCTGCAGAAAATCAAGAGCATCAAGAAGAAGCTGAGCCTGCTGTGCATCGACTTCAACAAGAACCTGAACGAGGACGCCACCTCCCTGCCCTTCACCCGCGACGAGCTCGGTAGGGCGCCTGAGCTCCAGGGCGTGGGCGCGGGCCAGCGCCCAGGCGTCTTGCTAGTTTAAGATGTCTATCGTAGGGCGCATGTGCTTGGAGAGACAGAGACAGGGAAAGGGAGAGATCACCCCGGGGAGGACGGGGCTATGTCACTGGACTCCCATGTAGTCGACCACAGTTTGAGTCCCAGACCCAGTGGCTTAAACTCACACCGGGCCGGGTGCATGTGCGTGCCCAAGATCCTGACAGAGAATGGAGAAGGGATTGCGGCGTGGCCATCCCCCCCAGGGGGGTGATTTCTCACTTTGTCTCTCTGTCTCTCTCTCTGTCTTTCTGGCGAGTGCATGTGCCCTATAGCAAAAACCTCTCCAATAAATAAATATTTAAAAATCTAAATAAATATTTATTTAAATTTGACCAGAGAGGGACAGAGTGAGAGACAGAGACAGAAAGTG